TTTTTTTTTTTTTTTTGCCATTGTGCTTGTTATTTATTTGAAATGCCTTGTAACCCCCATTAATATGAGGTTACCTGAGCCTTGTACCTGCTCCTTTACTTCCTTTCTTTATGAGCCCAGCACCTTTTGCGGTAATGTGCATTCCTGGGGGATTTCATCACTGACGGCCATTCATTGTGCTGGGAAAAGCATCCTGTTTTTGTTCCTGGAATGTTTTTATTTCTAGTCCCAGCATGTAATTTAATAAATTGTTGGCTTTTTATATGTGCAGATATACTTTTATATAGTATGTTAAAGGTTTGAACATGTCCAACAAAATAGCCACAATTCCTCTGCAGTATCAAATGAGCTATTTTAGGCACCTTGAATCTGTATGGTTGCATCTATTGGTAATGGGTGATTGGCACATCATGTCTGAGCTAGGGAACTCCCATCTACACCGTTTAAATTGGTTATCTGCTTTTTAATTTGTTAAAAAAATTCCTTTAGAGATATTTGTTTTGCCGAGGTGCTGCAGTCAAATGGCAAATAAATCAATTGTGTGTGGCCACTGATGGGATAAATTTGCCTTCATTATATTTCTTATAAGCTCCAGTGACCACACATTGTCACCATACCTTATATGTATCTCAACCCACCCTGACAAAGTTGTAACAAACTAATGGGGCCCCATAGCAAAAACATTGAGGGTTCCCGCTTGAAAGTTTGCACTACATGGTCATGAATGATTTAGTAGTTGCCTGTAACAGTTGAGTATCAGACCAAGGAGATAAAACTAAACCCCAGGCAGCTATAGAAGACATAAATTAACACGGACGCACATAATAGTACATTTAAATAGCACTTAGTGACAGGATGGCGATATATGCTCATTGGGTAAAACTAAATCTGCAACCATCATCAATGATTTTTATAGTGAATAAAATATTGACCAGCCGGTGTGCAGTCGGTATAGGGTCAGATAAAGCATCATCAAATATAAAAGCATCACCTTCCCTTTAATGGAAATGAATGACTGCAATATATAACTGTCCAGACCCCAGAACAGAAACAAAGATCTTGGGAAAGTTCTGTGTGTTCATAACCTCTTGATCTGTCCCAGGACCTGGAATCCAGCCTGCCGTGAAGACTGGTGAGGAGGTCGGCTTTGTGGTTGATGCCACAACCGCTGGGAAAGGGAAAGTCACATGCAGCATTCTGGATCCCGATGGACTGGAGTCTGAAGCTGACGTCATTGAGAATGAAGATGGCACCTATGACATTTTCTACACTACCGCTAAAACCGGTCCTTATGTCATCCATGTCCGCTTTGGTGGAGTTGACATTCCCAACAGTCCTTTCACTGTCATGGTAAGCCAAGTTTTGCTTACTTTCTTACTTACTTTCAAAGTGTTGTTGAATGAGGCTGCTGTATTTCAGTGTTTTAAAAAGTATATGTTTTGCAACTTCTGTGCTAGACAATGTGATGTTTAATAAGGAACCAGTCTGCACAATCTGGGAGCCAGCATGTACTCCTAAAGAGTTTGAACACATGCTTCTGTTGGCAACAATAGCCTAGGCCAGAGAAAGTTAGATACCCGCTCTATGTTTAGCAGGGTTATTCACTAAAGGGTGAAGAGTTTGTAGAAGGCAGGAGAGTTGAACAATCTAGGCCAAAATAGCTGATTTAGACAAATTCTCCAATTTAGTTCACTTTCCAGTTCAGCTATGTTGTCCTAGATTGTTCACTTATCCTGCATTCTCCAAGCTCTTCACCCTTTTGTGAATAACCCTGTAGGTTTCATTTTGGCATCTGTGTTTTAGACTTTGTCCACCTCAGTTGCACTCATCCACTCATCTGTGCTAACCATAGTCTCTCCTGAAATGACACAATTGGGGTCATTTCATGGAGGTACGTCCATATATTTTATGTCTGTCAGCAAAATCTCTGTTCTCCTATGTGACATGACATGATACAATGGCAATGGTTGTGATAAGGTACACAATAATGTTTCGCAACATGTCATACAAGAACAAAATGGCGATATGTTCAGCAGCGTGTACTCCCTTATTTATCAAAGCATCTGAAGAAAGAACCATGTTTGTTGAGCTTACAAACCACATTCCTTCTTCCATTCTCACAGTGCAGTATGGGAGAATAAACATTGAAATATCTTTTTATTTTTGCCTTCAGGGTGTAACGCATGTCAATCTTTACTTACTGGGATACCTTATAGGCATTCCAATTGGTCAGTGAATATCAGTTGATGGGGTATCAGGCCTGAAGTCTTTGTTTAATTAAGAAGTGAACCTAGATTAAATGAAACATATAAAGGAGGTTTTCCTGGCTAACAAAGACAGTAGCAGACATCTTGTAGTATCTGATCTTGGGCAGGACTTGTAAATTTTTAATTAGCTAACAGGTTCACTTTAAAGGTAACATGTCACTTCCACTCTCATCTGTCTCAGCCATGACTCCTAACGTGTGCTGGAAGCTGCCACGGTCTGACTCCCAGGGCTCGTACCATCTCAAACAGTGATGTGCGTGCCCCAAAACTAGCGCTGGCTCTGGGTGGGTCAGGCAGCGGTAACCTTCAGCACAGGCTAGAAGCCCTGGCTGGTAGGGAAAGAAGTGATGGACTTTGTTCGGCCATTGATATGTGATTTGATATGTGTTGGGGATGAATCAGTTTTTGGTCACTTTTTACATATCTCTTAAAGGAGAACTATGAGGTGAGTACTTTTCACTCACCTCATAGTTCTAGCCGACCTGCGACAATGAGACTGTCACAGGTCGGCTCAGTAGATCGGGAAGTGAGCGAACGCATACCGGCGTTCGCTCACTTCTCGATCCTGTCACGGCCCTCTGCCGTGACAGGGGAGGGGCTGGATTCTCCCCGCTCCGATCCTCCAGCGCTGACTGGCGGAACGGACGGGGCAGGGGGCAGGTACAGCTGGCTCTGCCTCTAGATAGGCAGAGCCAGCTGTCACTCACGCTGCGGCGTCTCAGTATACCGTGAGCTGCAGCTTGCGGTATACTGAGCTTAGGGTGACGGGAGGACGCTAGTTTGTGTCCTCCCGTTACCCTAAGGAGAACTTTGGGGAAAAGTCCTAACCCCATAGTTCTCCAAGTGGATAATTTCAGTGCCAGTGCTATTTGTTAGTCATTGACCCTGGCCTAAAACATTAGCTGTTAAACCATACTGTCCAGAGTTCCTAAAACCTAGACAAGCTATGCCTCGATCCAAGCCTGTCTAGACCCCCCAAGATCTCACTTGGTTACTTTTACAAAACACCAAGCAGATTCCAGAACCAGAAATTTAAGTTAAAGAGGAACTTTACCCACCAATTTAATGTCTCCTAAAACAGTTACTTTTAAGGCATGCCAACTGTCAGGGTAGCCAGTGTGCTTGTTTGAACTCTCAACCAAGCTGTCATGCCCTCAAATGGCTGATGTCATACCTGATCACATGTACAGTACCATGGCAACCGCAATACAAATAGAGGCTAAGATGGCACCTTCCTTAGCTGTAAGGGATAGGAGGGTGTAGTTCCGCTTTAAGTTATATATTAGAGTCTGGAACAAAGGATCCACCACATTCCTTATTAAAACTCTGATTGTTTTGTTGAACTGTATGTTTGTTTTCTTCCAGATTGAATTCCATTGGCTGTTCTTCCCATAGAAGTTCTCTTTGACAAATAATACAATGCTTTTTTTTCTCTTTAACCATTTTGTTCCACTGTACCAGGCCACAGATGAAGTTCCAGTAATGTCTCAGCAACAGTCTCAGCAGTCTCTTAGTGCCTTGCCTCCAGGCTATGACCCTGTGGTATTTATTTTTCAATTTCCATAAGACCAATCCACCTTCCTTCCATGTTTCTTCCATTGCAGAAGTCACATCGCTGCTTATTGGGATTGCTTGCAACATACCTGCCATGGTTGATCATTATCTTTTTTGATTCATTATGTTTTTATTTTCAGCGACTATCAAATCACACCCAAATCAGCATTTTTCTTTTTATAGATTATCTTTTAAAAGGTTGCTCAAATGGTCTGCAGATTCCCTCATGCTTTTTAATGAGTTGCTTCTTGAAACAGTCATCTGTAACGTACACATGCATTTTGCATCTGTCAGGGCTTCTGCTCTGCTTTCTCTTTTGAAATTGGCTTTTTCAGTTTACATGGCACAAAAGGCCAATTATAAAAGGAAATGTGCCATTTCAACAGCAGAAGTAGTTAGGGAATACCTTGCATCTGTCCTTGAATGGTTGTCAACTTGGCATTTCAACTGAATTACCATTGTCGTGGACTTAGTTCTTTATATATTTCTATGTAGAATCTAATAGAGGTCAGATACATTGCTGCAATACTGTACATACAGTTTACAGAAATCTGTAATAAATGGTTGTTTGGTAAAATGACAAGTTGAGTAATCACAGCCAAGCCGCACTGTGGTAATGACCTGGCACAAGGTCCGGCTCTGTCACACCCCACCCACATTGGTCCATGTTTAGTGGAGCTACTCTGTAAGTATAAAGCTTAAATGAGATCTTCATTGATTGAAAACGCTGTATTCCGCCTTGCACGATTCCACATCCATTTCACCTTTTTATTTTGTTCCTGAAAACCATGATTACTAAACCTCACAATGACGGTGACACCATGTGACTGCTGGTCATCTTTTACTTTTCTCCTGTAAAAATCAAAATCATTTTCTGTTTCAGATTTCACTGCTTCAGCCGGAGCTTCTGATGTTACTCATCCTTAGTATATGAAATTTTTTTGTTTCATTCTTTTTTCCTTGTAAAGTTCATGCTGTGGTTTTGCAAGTAGATTGTGTGCATAGTGAATGTGGGTCCAAATGATGGAAACATTCTTTTATTCGAAATATTTTCTGGGGTTTGCAGTAGCAGAGCTGCTCTAATATCAGATGCCTACCATTTTGACGGTTTAGAAAGCTGGGGGTACTGATCATATACTAAAGACCCAGAATAGTTTGTGTATATCCAGTCGGGAATCATGGTCTAACTAACCTGTGATGTACAAAGCATCTTCTAAAGTCAAAGCGGTGTACTTCAGGTTAATGAGAATCTGGTTCGCTTTAGCTTCCTTTTAGAGCATTTGGAAACTACAGTATATGACCCTCTATAATATCATCATGATAAAGCATATCAGAAATCATAGGTTGCCTGTAATAGACCATACAACATTCTTGATTGATTTGATACTGCTCTCTCTCCTCTGTGATTAATGACTAGATGAGCACGCTTGTCATTAACACGTGTAGTGTGGATGACAAGTGTAGATGGACACACTTGCCTTGTACATACACACACATAGTGTAGCTGAACAGCCTGCGGTTTATGACTTTTATCAATGGTTAGATCAGAATTCCAAAGCACAAGTGTGAGCTCACATCTCTATATATCACAGTCTACTTTCATAGCCACCAGCTGTCCTATTATCTGCTCCAATCTGCCTTCACTGATATCTTATTTTTCCTTCCAGATGTCGGAGACTGCATACGCTCCTGTTGGTTCTATGAACGGGATGGGATTCAGGCCCTTTGATTTAGTTATCCCCTTTGCCATAAGAACAGGAAACATAACAGGTGGGAGTAACAAAGTAGAAGTTAAAGCTGTTCAGTCAACGTGGAATATTAGGCCTTCAAGTGCATACAAGGAATGCCAGTCCAGAGCCTCTTGCTTTTTATCCAGTCATAGTTGTAATCCAGCAGACCAGTATTGATGGTAGTAATCTGTTGTCCTTGAAAAAGCAACTGCTAGAACTGTTAACTTTTAGTGCTAGGCGGAAGTTCTGGGGTCAGTTTACACCAGGATCACTACATGCAGTTCTCTGGTTCTGTAGTACCCTATAGTTCACTACTACCAAAACAAATCTGTACCTTTCCCACACTCCTCACCACTGTGACACTTTTGTAAGCCTACCATATGTTTTGGTGAGGTGAAAATTCATCTTTAGTTGCTTCACAAAGCTCGGGACATTCTGTGACCGCATGGGCTGTACATAGGCAGGCATGTGACTGGCTCTATCTGTAATGTGTTGCAGACTGCATGGCTGGTATACAAATATATTTAGATCTTGATTGGGTCACGATCCGATCATCATGTGGTTAATGAGACAATAATTACTAAGCGTGTGTCCCTCTGCTATTCAGGTGAAGTTATTATGCCGTCAGGGAAGACCGCCCCTGCAGAAATCGTGGACAACAAAGATGGTACCGTGTCAGTGCAATATGTTCCCACAGAGACCGGACTACACGAGTTACATATCAAATGTAATGGAACACATATTCCAGGTACTAACATTATTACTTTGACTGGTGACTTTCCTGGCCTGCATCTCTAGGCTGGGTCAGTCATCATATTTTGCAAGGTCTGAAAGTGGAGCTGATCGTAATCCTTCCTATATCAGAGACTTCCTACTTTTTAAATGTATTTTTCTAAGTCTTTAAAGTCTAAAAAAAACACTGCAAGTGCAGAAAAATTCATGTTGATCCTGCCAGAAATCAGATGAGTTCCTAAATTCTTGTTGTAGGATGATGACGCTGCCTCTGCTGCACTGAAGTGTTATCAGCCCTGCCCAAGTTGTCCCCTGCTGGACTACAGAACACCTACACCCTATGTTATGAAAATGAGGATAGGCAGAGGGGTGTTCTGTAGCCTATATCAGGAGAGCAACCTAGGTTGAAAATGCTGCTGCTGCTGCTGTGAATGTTGTCACCTTAGGACAGGAAGGTGTTACTGGCAGGATCCTGGATTCATCAGATGAAGATAAATAAAAGAAAAAAGCGGGGGGAAAAATACAGAAACTAATGCAGCCACCACATCTAAGGACTGGCAATATTTTACATTCTGTTCTTTGGTTTAGATGTATGCAGATCTTTTTATGGCAGGTTTAGAACCTCTGTCTATTTTCTATTGCTGTCTGGGGTGCCTGTTTGGGAGATTTCTTCTTTGAGGGGGTGACAGAACAGAAAGTGAAGGGAAATCTCCTCTGCAGGGATACAGACAGCAATAATAACACATTTAGTAGTTCAGAATGATTAAAAGCTTTATCGGGTTTTTCTTGTTCTCAGTCTTATTAGGGAGATCTCCCCTCACTTCCTGTCCTGTGGGAGTGAGAGGAAGTCTTCTTACTGGATACACAGACAGCATTTCACACCTGACAGAGCTTTTAATCCCCACCCACCCCCATTTTAGAGTAGGTAAGGGTTAAAGTAAAACTAAAGGCATCAATGTTTTTTTAGATTTAAATGGAATGTTGAGGGGATAGAACCACAGTCAGGCTTTTATTGCTGGCCAAAAAAACATGCCTGTAGCTATGGTGATGCCGTTTAATTGCAAAATGTCAAAAATATCTACTTTAGTCATTTTAAGTTTTTAGCGCGGTCTGTGTCCTCATTAAGGGATTGACTTTCTCTAACTGTCCTGACCACCAATATCACCTGAAAAAAGTGTCATGGTAAATAAAATGTAAACAAATGTCACAGACGGTGATAACAACCAGACAAAGGGTCTAAATAAAAGTATATTTATACCCATAACTTTTTTTTTTTTCTTTTTGGATAGAAGTAGTGAAACTTCTTGTCAGGGTTTTCTGCTATCAGAAAACCCTGACTGAAGAGACTTCATTAGAATGATTCCTTCACTTCCTGTCTTGTAAAAAGGTTGGCCCCAGGACAGGAAGTAAGTGGGGTTCTCTCTAACAGCAACACACAGGATGGGAATGCTAGAACCTTTGTCATCGTTTTAATGTTGTCTGTTTCCCTGTTGCAGATTTGAGGGAAAATCTCTTAAATAGAAACATAGACAAGAGTAAAAAAAATAAAACTTTAAGTTAAGTTGGGGAATTTTAGAAACTCTATTTACTATTTTTATTGTCTTTTTCCCTGGTATAGATTTACCCTTACTTCCTCTTTAGTAAAAGGTTGTCCTCAGGACAGGGAGTGAGGGGAAATCTCCCGAACAGAGCCCCAGGTGCAGGTAGTTGAACCTTTAGATCACATCAGATATTGCCATTGGATAGTTATTGACAGAATTCTTAATTAAATATAATGTATTTTTCACAGCCAATCACAATTGTCCCCCCGAGTTACAGATAGCACGGGTTTCATCTCAGTGTATAGAACTGTACACCTGGCTGAGCAGTATACGATGTGTGCGTCAGAACGTCCATACATCTGTCCTCTAGGTGTTCACATCAGTCTTTGCTATGGGAATGTATATGCTGCCACCTAGTGGAAGAAGCTATTTTTCAGTATATTTGGACGCTTAAACATTCTCTCTAGTTTCACTCATTACTTTCTTTTTTTCCCTATTTTTTTATTGCTTATAATATCTATACATTCTTGTAACATGTTGAAAATGTTTTCTTATTTGTAGAGAGCCCGTTACAGTTCTATGTAAATTATCCCAATACTGGAAGTGTTTCAGCATATGGACCGGGTCTTATTTATGGTGTTGCCAACAAACCAGCCACATTCACCATTATTACAGAAGATGCAGGAGAAGGTACTGTTTTATAATTATCTTTATAGACCATGTTACTGTGTGTTCTTTTTTCAGTTCATGATGCCCTCTGCAAATAATTTCATAAAATTGAGATTGCCTATATAATAATTCAATCTTTTTGCACTGTAATCCTGATTAGGTGGTCTTGATCTGGCCATTGAAGGCCCTTCAAAAGCTGAGATCAGCTGCATTGATAACAAGGATGGAACTTGCACTGTCACCTATCTGCCAGTACTATCCGGAGATTACAATATCCTGGTGAAATACAATGATACCCATATTGCTGGAAGCCCCTTCATTGCCAAAGTTACTGGTAAAGTATACATTAGACTTTTATTGTATCTACTCAGTCTGTGGAATGATTATCTGACAAATGTGTGCTTCCTGTGGTTAGGAAACCAGTTCTGTGTGATACTACCAAGGAACTAACTGAAATTGTGAAATCTTCAATCTGATAAGCATTATCTCGCCATGAGAATTCTCTAAATTTAGATTCCTTTTGGGTGTAACAAATTGGTTTTCCTGTCCAGATAAAAACATTCTCAATACTTTTTTATTATTATACAGGATTTTAATATCGCCAAGAGTTTTTGTACCGTGCTTTACAAAATAATGGGAGATGGTACAGTTAAGCTGGCCATACAGCGAGCTGAACCAATACATCTAACAAATTCCTCCTTCCACGCTAAACATGGATGAACAAATCTTCTGTTGTGTCCTCTGTATTCTGACAAGAGCGAGCATGTCACGGTCAGAATGCCCAAACAGTGACGGCAGCTGATTGGCCAGCTTTACAATACCAAGGCAGGACAAGAGGGTTAAAGGGGCCCTAGGATAGGCTTTCCTGAAGAGATGCGTTTTCAGGGACAGAGG